AAAATGTAAACTAGAAAAAAGTCACCCTCGAGATTTTTCAGGATTTTTCTCTAAAGTGTCTAATTTTCTTGTAAAAGCAAAGTTTCATTTCTCTACGGCAAGTCTCTGTTGTTTATTTTCCGTAGCCATTGCCGAAGTACTCTTCATTTGAAGATGAACGGGAGAAAGCACGTGTCATGTTTCTAAAATGTACATGATGCTCTCGGGGTCGTTTCATGATTATTTTACAAACCTGTATCTACAAGATGTAACAGTTTCCGACTTTCGTTGCAATGCATGATGGAAAACTTTAAAAAAAATGAATAACAAGCAACAACTTGAACAAGATCATCGAGTCTGTGGAGTAGATCTAGAAATTGCACTAACTTTGAGCTGAATAGAATCCCTATGACTATGAGTTTCGAAATAGATCTTTATAAACGTCACGAAAAAATTCGCATTCTGAAGATCACTTCATTGCCAGTTTATATCCAGTTCCGTAGACTTTGAAACTCCTGAATGGCATGACATTTACACTTACATGTATGATGATGATGATTGTATGATGATCCAGATTTTTTCATAATCCGTCTCATTATTAAAACATTGTTCCATTTGTGCAGTTATCTGGGTTAGCAAATGAAATATGTAAATGAAACACATCATAATCCAGTATGTTCCAAATCCATAATTCAAGAACGGCCCATCAATTCTAGTTCGACAGCACAATGTTTATAACTATTAAAAATGGATTCCTGACGAAAAAACATTATTACGTCACCGACAATTTACGAAATATATGACGTAACAAAAATCCCTCGATGATTCCAGTTGCGGCATTGGCAGAGGGCGGTTAGGCATATTTAACCTCATAAAGATACTTTTAAGCGAGATACATCTGTCTTGATGGCATTTAAAATAATTTTTGTATACAGTACCCAGATTTTGCAGTAATTGTTAAAAGTACACCTTCAATTCATATATTAAAGTGACATTATCCCCATCCAAAAGTATATAGTGAGTGAACGGATGAAGATCAAAATAAGTTTTCATTTTACCATAATTCCCTTTAATTTAAAAATTAAATTCACATAAACAATAAATAACGCACAGATCCTAACGAAATTTTTGTAAATATCCATTAGAATTTACCCATAACGCTTAATTTATAAAAAGAGTGGGGCAGTCTTTTTAAATTTTAAACAGATTTATAATTTTATCCTAAACATTTTCTAATATCAACTGTTGGTCAAACACCATTTTGACCGTAAATGTTTTGAGAAATAAAGTCAATTCAGCTTAACTTGACTATGAAAATATGAGCATAATGTCACTTTAAAATAAAACTTTTGATAGCATTTAAATAATTTTAAACACACTTAATGACATGAATCTATGACAGAATACCTCTTCCATTAATTCACATATAACCTTCGTTTTGATTTTATGATTTTTAAACTATTTTATATATTTCTCAGAAATAATTTCCCTACAAATTATCTCGTTATTCAAGAGTTCTGTAAATCCTACTCTTATAGCTACAAAATATACCATATGCGGTGTTATTTTCTCTCGCGAAAAAATATAGCTATTGTTTTTTCACTGAATATTTTCAAATTTTAGGAAGGCTATAATTATTTAGGACATCACTCTGTGTTTCTCTTTGACTCGATCTCCCGTTCATATTAACATAGTATGTAACACTTTGAGTCCCTGATTAAACGCTCCAATTCAATCTTATTCTTAATAATATCAAACACTGCCGGTATTTCTGGACATTTTGTTAAATTATGAGACGGAAAATTAATCTGTATTTACAAGCTTAAAGTGTATAGGCCAACGTTTGGTTGCTCAAACTAGAAAGCATTTTTATATTCTTATAATTTACATTTTTCCTCGCACGCGAGTCTGTGTTCTCTCATGAGCAAATGAGCTAGTTCAAGTAGACACTGCAAAACAATACTGAACATATAGTGAATCAGTTCCCCTTTCTATATATTTCTTGTCAGATTTGCATGCTAATGTCATATTTGTTGGCGATTTATACGTCGGGTTTCTGTTGTGAAAGTTATAACCTACGAAAAGTTTTAACGCACGAACATCGCACCCGAAATAAGAAGGGTAACCTATTTTTGTATCCCATCGGACCTGGTTAATTTAATTATTTTTAAATAGACGTGATACATACTAATGGACAGTATTCAGACAACTACAGAATTATGTTAATTAAACATTAGCGAAGAACCATTTTTTTAGTCTTCTAGCTAGTGTTCCCGTTACCTTACGACGCGTTGCGGTATTCAACATACGCGCTTGATTGAAAAGCTATCTAATCAAATCACTTCATAATATTGCTCTTTTTCTCTTAAAAAGAATATAAAATACGGCAGTATATCATGGTAATTATATAATTATATAAATCTTTGTGTGTTAAAATTTATAAAGCGGTTACTGATATTTCACTTCAAATGATTTTAAATTGATTATTTTAGATAATGGTTTGCTAGTAAAATTGCCTTTTCGACACCAACTTTGTTCTCATTTTTCATTTTAATGATAACATTCAGCTTATGATCAGTAAGTAAATAAGAATAATCAATTTTTTATAATTAACGAGTACATGTCACGCTTATTGTGAGACGAACCCTAAATGATGTCTGTATGGGCGCCGCCATTTTGAAATGGACGTCACGTCAGGTTACAACGTAAGTCAACGGGAAAATATATAATTTTAACATTTTGACCATATTACTGACTTTATGGAAAAAATGAAAAACATGCCTAGAGATATTGATGTCAGGATTAACATGACATTAACTTAAATGATTTCACTATTATATTTAATAAAAATGGAATATTCAAATTTGGTGGGACAGACTAGGATGAATATGTTCAGTGAAAATGCAGCCAATAAAATGGGGTGTAAAGAGGTTGTTTGCAGTAAAATCTGCGGGCTATAGACAAAGTGCGTGTTATTTTGAACAATTTCTACTCAAAACGATACATGATGTTATCATTTAAAATAAGACAAGCATCTAGTAAGCAGTAAATATAGACTGTACTGCCTGTATGTTACGAGCATACATAAATCATGATAAAATGCAAATCGAAGTAGAGAGTATTTGTTCAACTCTTGACAATTCATCAAAACGACTGTGAAAATTTAGATATAATCTTATATTGGGTTAAACGTAGCTTCTTTATTAAGACCACGTAGTGTACTAACATACGAATAAATAATTTCAGTTGAAACTGACTTGAAAAATAACTAAATGATGATTAAGCTAAATATGTAAGTGTTATATTGTGTTGAAACAGCTGTGTCATAGCTAGTTGTTTATAAATGATATTTTTGCAAATTATCTTATTCTGAGAAAAAGATTTAAAATGGCTTAAAAACTTCTGATCCGCTTTAAAAATTCATTTATAATTCAGTATCGTCATTTTCTTAAGTTTGTGAAATAGGAAGTTTTTTAAAGTTTTTATTTTAGAGTACACACATTCTTTTCACTGAAAAGCATATGTAGATTGTTTTAAATAAACAAATGTAATATTTTTTCCATTTTAACAAAACATTTATTTTACATATTAACAAAAGTGCGAGCTGTATTTTATTATCTATAAAATGCTCTTACATTTAAATACAACTTGCCTTAGACAATTTTTGTTCGATTTAGTTTTTAAAAATCTAAGTTGGAGTCATATTAGCGTTGATATGAAGTTAAAGAACATTACGTTGATCCGTCCTTGAATTCAGCGTCATTTTTGCAACACAAAATTTACGCATCTGCATTACCTATAACAGTCGTTAACATGCAACACAAAATTTACGCACCTGCATTACCTATAACCGTCGTTAACATGCAACACAAAATTTACGCACCTGCATTACCTATAACAGTCGTTAACATGCAACACAAAATTTACGCACCTGCATTACCTATAACCGTCGTTAACATGCAACACAAAATTTACTCACCTGCATTACCTATAACTGTTTATTTGCGTATGACGTCATAAATTTCACTAAATATCATGCAATTGTATCATTTGATGTCACAATAACAAAACGAGAGTTTGCGAAATTCGAGAAGCTATAGTAATACAATCAAAGTGCTCCGTGATTCGTTGATCCTGTAGCCATAGTGATTGGCGCTTTGCGAATATTCCTGTTATCATATTTTTTAATTAACAAATAGATAGCAAATAAATACCTTAAAAAATACATTCAATCATCATATTGTATGACTGCTTCTAATCATTTTATAGCCTGTCTACTAACTTTCCGGACAGCTCTCGTAAAATGTTACGGTCGATAGGTATATTAAATAGAAATAGTCATTTGGGCTAGCTTTTTGTGTTAACTCTGCAGTGCCTAATTTCGGATACGCTACGCAAAAAGCGTATACATATCTTTAAAATGATGTTCAAGCTACCGCTAACAAGAAACCAACAAGTAATTTTTTCTCTTAAAATTGTCCAGAGGTATGAATAAGCACATTCTTGTGAAATAAGAACTATGTTTCTAACAGTACAGGGTACAGGGACGAACTTCTGCAGAAGCATGAGGGCACATTTAAAGCCCGGAGATTCAAAAGTGTAAGGACTCCTGCAGATGTGAATGAACGACACATAAATCGATAAGCGCTTTTCTTGAATAAAAGTATACATTTTAATCGATTATTCCTTGTTTAGTTATAAAAAACCTTGTCTGTGCCATGTTTTCCACGTTCTAATGCGATGTCATTTAATGGTAATGTTTTCATAATAAAACTACCGAGGCGGTCACAGCATAGAGCTGTTTTTAAATTAGGCCCTTTGTCAAGCATATTAAAAATTTGCAACAACGGTACGTAAAGGCTATTTGTATTTGGGTTTTATTGGTCAAGCCTCTTACCAAATAGTTCTGTTTCAAATCTGTGTGTGTAAAATTCTGTTACAACACTAATATTTAAGTTTGAAAGGACTGCAAATTGTATGATTTATTTCTTTTCAAAATGAAATCAGCAATCAATATGTATATATATTGTATTTATATATATTGTAGATAGATAAATGACTTGACATTTTTTATCCTACATTTTTATAAGGCTATAAAATGTGAACGTAAATAATGTTTTGAGAGTACGTAAGGAAACATAACGCCACAGCTTCGACAGGAGGTAAGACCTTCAGATTATTACATATTATCTTTTTTAATACTTAATAAAAGATGTTGATGACAAATATTTAATATTGCACTTTTACAGAAAAATTGTTTAATTTTTATTCAATTCTTTTCTATGCAGGATTTAATACGTACAAATAAAAAGTTCTTAATCTAAGTGTTTTATTATATTCTCTTAATCTTTATGTCTTAGCAATATAAAATTCTTACAACATGTTATTTAATATTGAAGACGGTCTATAAAATCATCAATTTGTTTAACATAATATTTGAAATTCCTTATTTATTTTTTTTTCGAAATCCAGGGAAATTGTTCAGTAACCAAATAAGAGAGTGAATGGACATTATGAAATAAACCTTATTTAAAAATTCAGTAATTGTGTTGTGTTTTTCTTTATAAAACAAACAGAATTAAAATGAATGCATCAATGACTAATTATAACTGATAATGACTTATCATTTAATTGAATTTATGGATAACATTTAAAAGTACGCATATCTAGTTAAGAAATATATCATCTTCAGAATTTTTCGACAAAAACACAAACGAAACTTTACTTATTATGTACTGTACACATGTGTTTATACTTCTTCCTTTAAACCTATTCATTACTATCTGTTTTAGAATAATACATTTTGTTGTATTTTCGTCAATGTTTTCTGTTACATAACATTTAGCTATGGCATCAGGTTCTAACACATTGCCATATGGGTTCCAGCCACCTTCAGAAAGTTATGTATTTGATAATCTTATCGCCGACCTCTCTCAAGCAATATCAGAAAGGGAACTGGAAAATCTCAAACAACGCTTTGAACGTAAGTTGTCAAATTAAATGAAGTTGTTATGGTCTCACGGATTACAGTTAGACCAGTTATGTTATTTGTCATTGAATTAAAACATTTACTTTGTCGTAGTTATTTTTAACATGATAGAAACAATCAGTACGAAATAATTTTAGAATCATTATTTGCAGCAACTGCATTTTAGGTAAATTTTGTTCTCATATCAGATGTGCAAGATGTACGACTCCAAGAGAGATGTTTGTATTTTTGAAAGACAGGGGATTCATAAATAACTACAACATACTGTATATCCAGCAAATTGTTCGTGTCCTTGACAGAGTAGATCTTGTGGAAAAAGTGCTAAAATATGCACAAATGTTTGAGGAGGATACAGTTCTGCATGTTTTCCAGAAGACGACAAAAATCAGTATAATTATATATAATATATCTTATTGAATATGCGCATTTGTTTACGTGTTCTCAACGAATAAAGAATCAATTTTATTTAGGAATTCTGATTGAAACTTCTAAATTTACACTACTTTTTTGTAAAGTGGACTACAATACAGTTTGTATATAAAACATCAAATCAATTATTTTCTGTTATGTTTGTTTTCAGTAATGTAGAATTATATATTCAGGAATTGATTCACCGATCTTATCTGACTGATCAAATCTTAAATTTCAGCTGAAGGATTTACTCTAGTTCAGTTTCACATTAAAGGTCAAGGGATTTCAGAGACTGGCCAGCTGGAAAAGTTTCGGAGAGAAGTTTCTAGGCTACTGCTTTGTCCTCTCCATGAAGTGATCATCAGTGGCATACAAGCGACAAACAGCACTATCTTAACACTCATGATTCCAACATTGTATGCTGACGTCCTCGCAAAACAATTAGAAAAACAAAGTCAACGCATTATTAGCTCATTTATGCTACTAAACGTCGACTTAGTTATCTCCGATAACAATGAGTTTGAGCTTCAAGTCAAAGGTGCGTGAGTATCTATTATTTAGATAGCTAAAAGATATACTTTTCTATCTTAAAATTATCTTTAGACTGTTGGTAAATATAATTCGGTGCAGACTAAACTCAGCCGTTACATCTGTGTTGTCTGATTACTCTCTTTACTGTTCATTATTCAGTCAATAAATAAATGAAAATTTTCCAGAAAAGGATTCATTTGTGTCGTCCGGATTGAAAGATGGTAAAGTCAATTTAAGAGTTTTAGATTTGCAAAGGATAAATAACGCGTGTTCTATTTTGAGCATATCAGTAAGGAGGAAAACATCAATTTTATCTTATTATTTTATCTCCTTCTATAGAAATGAAGCATGTTTAATTTAATGTGGTCCAGGACTTTTGTTGATATATGTATTTTCCAATGATGCTTATCTCCTAATGTTGTGATATAAGTAATTAAATATATGAAGTATTCCCAATAATAAAATGTAAAATTTGTGTTTACTTCATATATCAAAGGAGAGTTGTATGAAGCCAGGAAAAGAAGTACCAAACATAAACCAGGTCAATCTACAAAACCCGAAAGATGTACACCTGAACGAAGAATGGACAATGAACAAACAAAAAACGCACAACCATGGAAGAAGATTAAAAGAACACAGGAAAAGAAAGAAGTCATGCAAGGAGTATGCTGTCCCCTTTACTGATTACTCACGATAGAATACAATATAACAACAACAAGAAAGAAAACTTTATATTATAATGTATGTTAAAAATCCACACAGAATAAAGAAATTATTTTTTACTTTTAGTGGTAAGCATTTATTTTAGGCCCAAATGTAGCTCTAAAATATCCTTAAAAATGAGTAAGTATAATTTTATTCACTTTATAAAATATGAATTTTTAATGTCAACTCCTTTAATGAAATTTTAAGGGCCTTCTACATTGATTTATGCATTAACACGTATTGATAAGTTGCATTACTATGAATGAATAGATAGTATTATAGTGCGTTGACTTATCTGTATGAAAGAGCAACTTATATTGATAAGGTGTTTGTTTATATTATATATCCTTTCAGCAGCTGTAACGTAATAAAACGTATTCGCGAAGGTGGCACCTTTGGGCTTCCGTAGATTCCATATTAATTCCTCAAATTTGGATTAGGCTCCAACATTGAAACATATGCATGGCATAATACAGGATGTCACGTGATCAAGGTCAAGGACGAATTTCGAACACCGCTATTACCATTTAAAGACGTGTTTGCGTGCGAATTTGACAAAAAATTGGAAATTTGAATTCTACCGCCAACACATGTTTCTCACCAGGTGCGTGTCACGTGACTTTTCCTGCCAAAATGTTATATTTTTCGAACAGATAAATGGTCAAGGTGGGGAACAAACACAAAGTTAACCATGTAGGAGACAGCTGCACTGCGTTTATACTTCCGGTTTTTTTTGTTGTTTTTTTTTTGTTTGTTTTTTAAGTTAGCCGCGCATACATCACCATAACAGCCTGCGCATGTCGTCACGTCCTGAAATCGCGTGCTCTGACGAGCGCTTTTATGTCACACACCACTAAATCAGAATATCATAGGGTTGAAACATCGCCAGTAACTGCCTATACGGACTGAGAGGCGACACTTTGAGGTAGGGGGTCTCTATGAAAATGCTTGAAAAGGTGGTGGCCGTCGAAAGGATATAACGCAATAAATAGTTTAATAGATGGACGTAAAAATCATGTAACATGTAAACGGTTAATTCAATTTCAAATGGTTTTAAAGTGATTTATATCTGCATATATTTTGGATGTTTTTCGAACGTATAATCTGACTTTTTAACATTAATTTCAGTAAGAAATTTTTTATACAATGCTTTCGGATTTGGGAACAAAAACGATCATGCTCCAATTGTAACATTGTTGTATACAGCACAAACGATTTGAAACATTTTTTTTTTCTTTTCTAGTTTTTTTACACACTTGTGTAAGTCAAAATGTCTCAAACTAAACTGTGATGCATGTACACGAAATATGTGACCATTAATAGACTTAATAAATTAGTAAATTTAATTATTAGCAGAGCTATATAAAAGTCAATTTTAATGTAATTATTATGAAACTTTTTACATTGGGGTTATTAATCAAGACAGCATGGTTATTTAATTGCTTAATATGATAAAATGATAGAACAACATTTTTGATAAGCAAACGAAATATAATGATTTAGGTCTTGATTCACATCTTTACATATTTGCCATATCATTGATTCGGTGTCCTGTATTTTCATTAAACTAATAATTCTACCGTCTTTTTATACCTAGTTTGAAATAAAGTACAGATCTGCAAATATGTTTTTGGTTGTGTTTCTTAAAAATGTACTTGCTACATACACAATCATAGTTTCAAAAAGTAAAATAATATTTGTTACAATACCTACTTTTATATTAATACGGCATAAACTGTTTATACCTTAATCGCGAAAATACATCAATTTGAAATGCTTACTTTGCAAAGCAGGACTTTAAGTTTAAAGTTCAAAGGTTACGTTAGTGATTATCTCAGGCCATATGAATTCCAAAAGAAATAGCAGGTATTAGTACTTGAATGAAGGTTTGAACCAATGTTTCGAAAGGATATACCTTGACATGTACATATGATAGACTTATCTACAGATGTTTCCTGCTTACGTATGGTACCACACTTCATATATTATTTGTATTAAATTTAAACCGTTACGCGTAATGGTGTCATAGTAGTCGTGAACATACATAGGCAATATAATAACCATACAACAGAAGCGTGAAAAGTATTGTTGAAACAAAGTTGACATTCTCATCAAATATTTAAGGGCACGCCATATCTACCACTTGCAACTTGTGGGAGTTTGATACTACATTTTGTAGGTAAAGAATTATTGTAAATCGGCAAGATATAAAAACAACGATATGACAACCGTTCAATTATTGTATATTTCGGACATGGCATTCATTGTACTGAATAATTCCCCTGTGATAGAATTTATTTTCATTGCCATAACTAGTTTTTATGTTTACAATATAACAAACGCCGTTGAGGTGAGGAATTTAAATCGACGATAAGACAAATTGTTCAATGATTGTATTTCGGACATGACATGCATTTTACGAAATAATTTCCTTGTGGTAAGAATTATTGATACGATTTTTGTAAATATGTTTTTAATATTTAATGGACATACTTGTCATTTCAAGTTGCATTATGTAACTTTGTTATGTTCACGACCACTATTCAAAATAAACGATGTTTGATATAAAGCTTATTTGTTTTTTCTTCTTTAATATATATAATATAATTATTTTGTAAAGAAAATATATGATATTAAATAAGGGTGCTAGAAGGTATGTCGATAGTGTGAGGTACAATTAATGTTTATCATGGCGGCGATTTTTCGAGTTTACCACTGGAAAGTAATAAATTTAAAGTCACATATTTGTTTGATGGTTCTTAACATAAAAATCTTAACATCGTGTTAATCATGAACCATTATAAATGTTATAAATTTGTACATAATATTATTATCTAAAAGAAAATGTTACTTTTTTTGATGGTATACTGATATACTTTATAAATATAACATTCATTGCTATTTGTGTTAACTATTTTTGTCCATGGGCCCGATTTTTATCAATTAATCTCTTCGATTTACAGCTATAAATAAATTCGGATTCAAGAACTTCTTCCGATTCCTATTATGTAAAGTCATATATTGGTTTCCCCTTCGGTGATTCGCAGAATGTTATATTAATGAATGAGCACGGGAACAAATTGTACATGAATGCGAAAGCTATAAATAGCTAGATAACCATAACATTGAAAAAGTCCGAAAATGTATTTATAGAAGTAGTTTTAGTCTTAACGAAATGGTCATTCGTTCTTTCCGGTATATAGCTCCTTTTTTTACGGCCCTGATTGTCGTCTGACATTTTTTACTGTGAATATTTAAACCGACCCTTATTTCTCGAAATTTGTCTGTAAGAAGTTGATTCTATTTTGATTGAAGGCAATCGGTTTTATGGTGGTTTTTAGTGGAAT